TACCTCATAAAATTTCAAATGTTTTTGCACAGTAAGATGTTTATGCATATATACATATCTATGATATATAGGCACCTCTGTCTTTTTTTTTCAGTATCTTTGACATTTTAGAACACATTTTAGATTTTTTTTCTGCCAAAAACATATTTTATTTATATGTTTATTATTATCAGAGCACTTCAATTAGTAGTTCTGGGCAAAGCACAAGGCACTGCTTTATTTGACTGTAGAATAGTCCACTTCAGAAAGTCTACAATAAAATTCTAAATTTAAGGCAACAAAAAGATAGCACTAGACAGAAAGTTTACAATAAAATATGAAGTTTAAGACAAGGAAGATACCAAGACAGGAAGATACCAGTAGATAGAGCAGCACAATGTGCCATCATTGGCCCAGGCCAAACTCACGCTGCTCATCAGCAGATGCCCTCGGTATTCAGCGAGAGAGACAAGAATTGGGTCTCTTTTTTGGGGGTTGAGGTATAGAAGGGGGAATGGCTGGGGGGAAGCCCATGCTGAATAGTCACCAGTGAGATAGCAGCATCCTGCCATTCGGGCAGGTCATGCTGCTCTTAAAGGTTACCAAGTGATAACGTAGCCTCAGCTCCAAAGATGTAGCACCAACAATAAAGAAATCCAGGGTGCTTGTGGGTTTTTTAATCCTTCCAAAAAACTGAAGCAGCGGCTTGCCCGAGGCAGCGGCCTCGTGTCTCGTCTTTGAGCCATTCCTTTGCATGCAGCTGCTGCTTTACAGCAGAGGTTCACACTTAAAGCAATTCCTGTAGTTAAAACCTGGCTCAGTTTCACATGCACAATAACCCCTGCGGGTTAAACTTGGTCTGTTCGTGGATGAGGGAGGCTCAGGGGAGCTGTGCACGGGGAGTTCTGCAGTAGATGGCACTCTTCCCTCTGCTCAGGGAGTTGGTCCAACGAGAGCCTCTGCCTTTATACTCGGCAGGAATTGCCATGAATGCCAATAAAGCTCTGCCTAACCAGGCAATAAAGCAACTCCTGACAGTTTTGAACAGAACCGGGGCTCCCAAGTCCTGGCGTCTGGCTTCCTCCCTGTTTAGATCACCGTAGTCTATTTCTGTTCAGTCTAAATTCCTCCTGAAATCTTAATGCTGAACATATATATATAATATATAGGGAGCTTAGTAGTAGTTACGTAAGTTACACATATCAGAATTTGAGAGCAGAATTATTCTGCTTGTTCAGCCATTTTGCTCTAGTTCGTGGTTTTATGTTACTATTCTGCCAATGGCAGATCCAGTTTAAGAATTTACTTAACTACCGTTGGTTTGTTGATTTTGGTGGTGGTGTTGCTATTTTGAAACCACAAAAAATAGCAGATCCAGATTAAAAAGCAGTCACACTGAATTTGTCACACTGTGAGTGAGGAGATAACATCAGAAAGGGGGCAAAAAGAAACCTGCTTAGGGGGCCATCACCTCTTAAATCAGATCTGCTGGATAACCAAGTGGTAATACATAGTCATCGTTTTACAGCTTTCTAAAGCACGCATTGTTTTCCTCATCTCTGAATAGGAAGGTAAGAGAAGAGAGTAAAAATACATTTCTGTAAGACAAAAGATTGCAGGAAAAAATTAAATGGGGCAGATTCATAAATTGCAAAATATAAAGAGATAAATTAGTTCAGATTTTTAAAGTTTTGGATTCTGTAGTCATCCCAATGTATTATTTTAATTCACTGCTTTTTGAACACACCTTTAAGTATTTCTTTTTTTCTTGCAGTGACATACATCATTTTTGCCTCTCTCCTGCACTCTCCAAAAATCCCTTAGCTGCTCATTAAAATCACAAAATAATATTTCTAAAATCTGGATCCCATAGCTATCATATATTTATTTCTTCACTTAAAAGAGAAGGATTTGCTAACGTAGTTCAAATAAAGCTGTCGGCCCCTGTTTTATCCCAGTATTTATGTTGGAGCCTGAGTATTTTGACCTGTTAGAATGAAGACACCCTAAGTAGTGTGTGAAAGAGGAATATGAAGCTTGCTTATGTACATCTCTGCATTGCCAGACAACTTTAGAGCAATAGAAAATTATGCACCATTGAGAACTACTTGAAGGGCTTTCTATTACAAGAACCGATTCAAACAGTTCTCCATGAGGGAAATAACATCTGAATTTAGCGACAAATAAATATAATCTTAGAATTCCAGATGGTCTTCACACTGGTTGTAATCTTAGATTCTTCTTTCTTAATTGAAAGCAAAACAAACTGTCTCCTCAAGCATAAGGGACTGGACTCGAGATCAGTGCTTTCTGTCCTCTCAGGAGAAACTGCACAGCAACTAAAATGTTGGACCAATGTGGTGCAAACATGGCATAAAGGAATCACCTTCATCTCTACATCCATTCAGTCCTGCAGCTCTCTTTTGAAAGAGCAACAGCTACAACATTCATCTATTATATGGCAAATAGATGATAACTTTCAAATGCATTTCATAGAGAATTCCAGATGGTCTTCACACTGGTTACTAATGGGGAACCTCTTATTTTGTTCAGAGCTGATGGAGATGCCTTGGACTTTTTTTTTTTTAGATTTTACAAATGATTATTTATTTATCTATTACATTTCTTTGGGGATGTAAGGTGTGCAGCTTTTGAAAACATGTTATTTAAACAAATAAAAGCAAAATGATTTATTGCTATTACGGTGCTGCTAATATTTCCCTTATTATTCTTGAGCTGTCATTTGGTTCAGTCGAATGATGAAAAATCATCAGGTCATGAACCTGATCAAAACCATTGGGTTTATTATTAATGCCTACAAATTTACAGCAGCTATTATGAATTCAGAGGAGGCATGAAGACCCACAAATCAGCCTTTTAAACTTGCTTTCAAACAGTAGTTTCAAATCAAAGAACAATTTCCTGACTGAGTCACCAGGATAGGAACTGGGATACCAAGTTTTATGCCTTTAGGCATATTGTAGCCTAATTTTTACGTCTGGTGAGTTCCTTTAATGCATGTTGAATTCAAATGGAGTTCCAAGGGCTCTGAACCTCTGAAAATTGTTTATAAACCATTGTATGAATGTCTTCCTTAGAGAGACTTGGGAAAGCTGTTTCAGTGTTTGCAATGTATTTTGAAAAGCAAGAATGCTGAAGAAGAAGTGCAGAGTTTACTAATGAGCAGCTCTTGAAACACTTTTTTTTTTCTTTCTTATTCCAGTTCATGCGAGGTGAAGAATTGTTTGAATTATCTTAAAAATATCACACAGCAATTAAACCTGGCAGTTCTCTAGCAAGATGAGAGTAAGAAGTAGAAGGGGCCTGTGACGTGTCGCAAAGGATCCTCCACCTCATTGCCGTTAGGATGGAAGTTCAGTCATGGAAGTCCGTGAGCAAAAGGTGAAGGCCACGTGGTGGCAGAAGTAGAACCTAGGAATCACACACGTTCCCCACAGTTCATAAGATCAGAAGACATTCAACATTCAACAGATCCAGAAGACATAATGGGAAAATAGGCTTATGGTAACTTCAGTTTGATAATTTTAAGAAGCAGGATAGAGAGCAGGACTCAGTGGATTTGCAATGTTGGTCAGGGAAGCGACCAGAAAAAAAACAAAATCTTGGTTCCTTAAACAGGATTAATGTGTGAAGGAGAGGTCTCACGTGTTGGTTTATGGGGCTCTGTCTGCACTGCTCGGTTTTCTTATTCAGAAAGCTTACACCATGCATAACTAAGAGAAGGAATAGCAGTAGACAGGCAGATCTGTGAGATTGATTGGCCATCAGTATTTGGAAATGTGGCCAAATCAAAGGGCTGGATTTTCAGTTTGTTTAGATGCTTGAAGTGCATTAGAGGATGGTGAGACTGTTGCTTATCAGTCTTTTATGGATTTGGAAACATTTGGCCAAAAAAGTATAGTTGACTGTAAAACCTGTCAATAAATGTCAAATGCAATGGTTAGGAAAAATCTATCAAATCCACGAATAATATGATAATAGAGGAATAATCAAGCGTTAATAAAAGCAATCAGCGCTTAGCAAACCAGACTGGTTTCCTAATGAAGGAGATCTTGAATCAACCCAGATTTTACTAGAAACCTGAACAACATTGCAAGTATCACCACATTTTACATTAGTTAGAGCAAGGTCACTCATGAAACTGTTCAAGAAAAGGTGGCAGAGGTACCAAATTGGTGAATTATGCCAAAGGATGGAGCAAAAGGAGAACTGCTCTCCTCCCCCGTAGCTTCCTTTCCTGCATTTAAACTTGCAGGATTGCAGTGTCTTCCCATTGCTGGCTATATCCAGCCCAATTCGTGGGACTTGCTTGACGGGGATTAAACATAATTTTAAATTCATTTGGCTCCTGTACTTTTTTTTTCCCCCAGTTTTCCTTTCTTGCTTATTGGAAAGTTTCACTTGGCTGAGTTGGGAGCTGCTTGCCCATGCTGGGCCTTTGTTCTGCTCTTGGCTCCTGGAGAAACTGGAAAAACCTGTTTGCTTGTGCACTCCTGCTTTTTTTTTGTTATCTTCCTCTCCCATTGGCAGCTGCTGCTAATACACATGCAGACAAGGTGGTGCCTGCCTTTCACGTGCAAGGCTGCCTTACAAAAACTGGAGCTGCTTTCTGTATTATCCCAGAGCTTTCCTAGCCTTCTGAAGGCTTTGGCAGTTGCTCCAGGAGTTAAACTTTGTGCTCTGTAGAAGGAGCTTAGGTCATGCGTTTATTTTTCTGTGAGCAAAGAGAGGGTGTTTGAGCATGGCTCTTACCCAGCATTTTGAATAATATTCTGTGGGCTTCACACAGAAGCTTTGAGAACCTGGTCCTGTTGTGCAATGTAGCTTTTGCACGCAAAAGAAGACTGTTTTTCAGCGACTGCACAGGGTGTAGGTAGGGTGTCCTGTCCTTCCACGGGGGACAAACACTGAGGCAGCAAACTAGGGCACAACGCGGACAAGTTGGGAAGAGACTTTTCTTTCTGCCTCTTCCCTCGCTTTGTGCTGCTGTTGGGACGAGAATGGGCCAGCTGTGCGGGCGATGCCTGCAGCTGCTGCGCGACTTCGCGGCCATGGTGCAGAGGACGTCCGCAGCGCTGCTGCACGGCATCAAGGAGTGCTTGGCTCTGATCAGCCACTGCTCCTGCCTGAAACCCAGCGGCTCCAAGGGCCGGCAGCTCTACAAGCCCATCCTGCAGCCACACGAGAGGGTGACAGCGCAGGAGTTCCTGCAGCACATCGAGGCAGGTAAGAGCGCGTGGTTTTCTAAAGGGCTTGGGGGAGCCTAAGGAGATTCTTCTTGCGTGTTGAAAACAGATTGCTGGTTGAACTCCTCTGACACGGCATGGGGCAGCCTGGTGATGTAGCCCAAGACAGAGCTACAATGCGTTTTCTTTCGTGTGTGGGATACCAAGTGTTCAGCTGGTGTGATGGTTGGATCTAGGTACAAACAGTCAGCCGCTTTCTGCTGTGCAAACATTGCTAACATATAACCCATGTAACTATGTGCCATAAAAGCAAGTGCCTTTAGTAATGAAGTTGATTTGGGGAGGGGAAGGATCCCAGACCGAGTCCCTGAAGAGGCACAGCTGGAAACAGGCTGCGCCTGTGGTGGATGCTGCTGGAGCCCTGCTCTGCAAGCAGACACCTCATCCTGTGCTGCTGGGTGACATCTGCACAGCCACGCGGCCAGAGTTGTGATAAGGGGGTCCTTGCTGTGCATGGGGAAAGTTGAGTCCCTACAGATCCCACTGGTCTCCCAGGACCTTCTCAGACCCAAGCATGTGGTCTGCAAACATTTTAGATAGAAGGCTTGAACACGATTAAAGGCCTGCACTTGAATCAATATAGATCCATAGCTCTTTATAAAGGTTCTCTGCTTTACAAGCCAATTCCCTAATTCCCCCATTTATCTAGCTATGGCGTCATCTCTATCCCATCCTAGGATTCAGCAGCATTAATAAGAAAACTTTTGTTTTTTCTTTCCTTCCTGCAGTCACAGAAAGTCTGCTTGGATCTGTGCATCCTGTTAGTCGGTGGTACTCTCAGAGAAAAGCTGACCTAAAATCGTTCCTGGGCTCAGGCTTTTTTTTTTTTTTTTTTTTTTTTTTTTTTTTTTTTTTTAAGAGGGGACTGTTTGCTTGCTTGTTTTTGCTTTTCTCTTGGCTAATTGCATATGCTTATCAAAGTTGGCTACTACACAAAATTTCAGACCCTTCTACTTCCGTTTCTGTGAAGGCTGCAGTTGGTCCTTGGTGCAACCTTGGTGTAACACAGTCTGAAATGATCTGCCATGGAACAAACGCCTGGTTCATTGTTATGATGCCAATAATTTGGAATACACATGGATTAGCCACTGCTAGTGCTAATGCTGCTATTAACTGGTGCCATTATTCTGTGAATGTGTGTGGGGTCCCATGCTCTCTACATGGTCTACTATCTGTGTGCAGAATAGAACTGCATCTTTCAGCCTTGTGTATAGTGGAGATGTTCCAGGGCTGGGTATTTTCTTCCAAAGCTGCCACGCTTCTGACTGTGTAAGAGACAGTCTCAGCAGCATCCCAGCTCAGCGGACAGATTAGATCCAACGAATGGATGGTCTGGAGGAAACAGTGAGGCGGGGGTGGTCCTTTGCAGCACCCACTGATGCTTTCAAAAAGTTAAGGTGTATGTTTTCCTCAGAAATTCCTTCCCCTCTGAGATGGGTTTCCAAAGACTTGGTGCTCAGGAGCGGAGCGCAGTAGCAGCGAGTCTGCCGCAGCAGCAGTGCCCAGTGTCAGGGTGTGCTCTCAGGAAGGTCCTGACATCCATGACGGTAGATACATGGAGCCCAGGAAGAAGAACCAAAGAGAACCAAGCAGCTTGCCTCTTCCTTTAGCTCTCTCCTGTGTATTTTATTCCAAGGTGGGGCAAGCCAATCCTCCTGTCTAGGCAAATTGCATCTTTATATTAATCAGGAAGCTAACATGTGGGCAGAGGTTGGATGCAAAGAGAGACTTCATGGTTGATCATTTGACTCAGTTGTTAGCTACGGCAGCGTCTGTTTGGTGTTATAAATAGGTGAAGGTGAGTGGCTTCATCATTCCCTCACCTGAAAGTGCCGAGAGATGTAAGAGATTCAACTAGCCAGTGTGTGAGCAATGGAATTAAATGGAATTGAACCACATGAAAAGGTTGCTGGTTTTGCTCTTAAAGCTTACACACTGTCTGGACTGTCCTTTTGTGCTTATTGCTAATTATTAACCAAAATTGATCTTTATATGAATCAGTCCTGTGAAACTCGCTTACCTCATCCTGAAGGTAGGAGTTTGTTATTCTTGACATGTCAGCAGCCTCCAATGGCCTAAGCAGAGTTTCATACCGAGACACCAAAGTTTTCATCCCTCACATCCTCTTTTTCCCACAGGTAAAGTGGCGAGTTCTTGTTGTTCATAGAAATAATTGACTCTCTAATGCACTGCTTTAATCTCTTGTCTCCAAATAAGTCTCGCACCTGTGTGCTTCACTGGCCAGTTCAAACTGCATTACCTTTCCAACAGCTTATACTGTTTAAATACTGGACCATTGGTTTGATGGCCCCTTTTTTTTCCATCTCTGCTGCTGTGCTCCACGCATTAGAATGCATACTACCCTGGCGTATAGCAGTCATGCATGGCTGCTGTTGCTGTATTTGTGATGGCTACTGCAGAACATCTGTTTTATTCAGAGGGGAAGTATCATACTCAAGAACAGGCAGAATCACACTGGGAATTCGAGCCTGAGGCAAGTCCATTTGCAGTCCATTTTGCTATTCCCTGAAATACTTTACTGCAATGTTAAGGGTAGAAAACATAGCAAAAACAAAATGTTACAAATTAAAAACATAAACTTTGCCTACAGTTCACAGCTAAGAAAGCCATTTTCACAAGATGTATTTTAACAAAGAATTTCTGCGATTCAAGGAAAGATGAAAAGTTTTATGGAGGAAAAGAACGCCTACATTTATACTGGATGGCATTAAAGTGTCTGAGGGTTATAATTTATCTTGCTTCCAATCACTAGATGCATGACCTTCGTAAGAAGCTTTGCCAAGGACAGGTTATTCCAGGCTGATTTATTACTGCTGCTCCTGAAAACATGAATAGGGATAGATGGGTTCAATGGAGCTGTTGCGGTACAAAAATCATTATATATTTGTTTGGCTGCCTGTATAAATACCTACATTTTTTATTTCTTTTTGTAAACCTTTTTTTTGATATAATTGAATCTATGTTGTCATTGTACCTCTTTAGGTTTTGAAATGTCACCGCTGGGAAAGGAGCCCCTGGAAGCCTTAAGGACCTTAGCCTTCTCAGAAAACCCAGGGTTACAACAGTCTGCAGCTCTCTACTATTTGCATATGAGTCAGCACAGTAAGTTATCTCAGTGCGTTAGGAATTTTCATATAATTAAAATTAATTGTTTTTTCAAGTGTGAAACTCCCTAAAGTATCAAAGGTGGGTTTTTTTTTTCTTTTTCTTTTTCTTTTTCTTTTCCCACTTTACATATTCTACCAAGGAAAATGGAAATGCTCTCAGTGTGATGTGGACAGCAGAATCCTTCTGGGTTTTGCTGTGAGGAGATAATGTCTCATAATTATAGAAGATTATAATCTCTCATAACTATAAAATTATAAAAACACTTAAGTTGTTTGCAGATTTAAAAGAAAACCAACAACCAAATAAAACACGATGTTTAGTAGATTTCACTCACTTCTGTAGGGCTCTTTTCTTTGTGATAGGCCTGGGCAGCTGCAGATCTCTCATAATTATAAAAGTACATATATATGTCATTTATGTAGTTGTAATATTTCTGAGAAAAATGAGCTTTACCCCTTTGAGAGTCTGTGTATATTGAATCTCCTGAAAGCAACACAGTAAAGGGTACAGGAAATGGACAAGGTGCACTTTAAATGTTTTACAATCTATAGGATTTAGAAGATAATAAAGCCTTATAAATGGTAGTGGACACTCATGAAGGGAAGTACTGGGACTTGTGGAGGAAGCATTCCTCTGTGTACCAGCTGTTCCATGAGAGCGCCTGGCTCCTGAGGTAATTTCTAAACAGATAGAGGAAACCAGCCTAGATATGTCAAATAGTAAGATTTCAGCAGGAGCCTGGGTCCTAAAAATGATTGAATTATCAGCAAAACTCAGGCTATGGTTTATTTATTTGCTCTTTTTAAAAATTCTACTTAAAGAGAACATCCGTGTGTTTGTCTTGATAGCTTTATGCCGTGTATCTTTTTCCAGCTAAAAACTGTGAACAGTCACAATATGAGGACCTGCTGTGGGCTGGAATGACTTGTTTGGTAGCTAGACACATTGCTTCCCTTCCCATAATGTCTTTAAAGTATTTGATTATTCAAAACATTTGCTGGGAATTTGCCCTGCTAGTAGCAATGGCATTGAAATGAAGGGGAATACCACTCAGCCTGTGTTCTGGGAGCACCTGAGGCCTTGCAACTATGAGACAACGATGTCAGGGACTGCAGGGAATGACGGGTGTCTGGATATTTCCTCTCTCTGCTGCAGTGAATGTCCCCCTGCCTGTGGAGCACCTGGAGCCCTTCTATGCCTTACTGCGCTCTACGGACCTGGAGGTGCAACAGATGTCCTCACTGTCCCTTGTCAACTTTTTGCTGGAAGGAAACAGTGAGTAACGAACGGCTCTGTTCTGCTCAGCTAGACCCAGTGCATGAGGAGGGCACATCTACATACCCAAGTCTACACAGATCCAAATTTCTTTGCTCATACTGTATAGGTTGGACAGGTATTAACTTGTTCACGTCTGCAAACAACACAGATTCAGGTGGATATATGATATTGTCACAAGATATACTGTATCAGGGGGCAGGAGAACTCAGCTCCATCTACAAAGGCTGCTCAGTTATTCCCAGGCTGATGTGGGATTAGCTCTGCTGTTCTCATTCTTGGATGAAAAGCCCACCACTTACCCTTTCAGCAAAAGATATAGCTCTCAGAAACAGACTCTGCCTCTGAGTGCTCATTTTTTTGTTATTTATTAACTGAAGTTTAACGACTTTAACCAGTTTAAACAAGTGATTTGCAGATTAAATAGATAAATAAATAAAAACAAGATGTTTAGTAGATTTCACTCACTTCTGTAGGCTAGTAGGGCTCTTTTCTTTGTGATAGGTCCAGGGAGCTGCAAATGACAAACATCACCATAAAGTTTAAATTGACAGACAAGGCATCAAGGAACTGCACCTATTCAATGGAGTATTGGAGGCATCTTCTGCTGTACTTCCTGACACCTAGGCCACAGACAGTGTTCCATCACACTGTCCCATACCAGCAGAAGACAGAATCAGTCTTCAGTGAAGTTAGCTTTTTTTCTTCTTTTTTTTTTTTTTTTCTAAAAGAGGATCTTGCTGCAAATAGCATCATGCCACTCTTTAAAAAAGACAAAAATAAGTTTTAGAAGTCTACTTGCAGAAGAAAAGGAGTGTCTGAGTAAACTGCGAACCTATTGGAAATGCAGTTTCCAAACTGAATCTTAAATCTAGAAACAGAATTGCTGGCAGAAATATTTGGGAACTCCTGAATCAGAGACTCCAAGCGTCTCTTACATCCTTTCATGAATCTAAAGGTGAATCAAAAAAAGACAAGCTGGGATATGTGAGTGATTCCAGGCTATTTCTATGCTACGTCCGTTTTTGCATAATCATAATATAGACCCCCAAGCAGCTAAAGGACACTATATTCTTTGCACAAAGGCATTAACAATTTGCTTTTTGTTTGTCCTTTTTTTTTTTCTTTCTCCTTGAATTTATGGATAGTTGACAAAGAACTAGTTGTCCAAATGGGTTTACTTGAGCCAATTCTGGAGCTGCTTGAGTCAGGGGATCCCACTGTCCAGTGTAATTCCTGTGCCTGCACCATGACTTTGGCCATCTCAGGTGAGTGTGCTGTTCTTTCCCTTTTTCCTTTGAGAATGAATTAATTCATTACAACTCTTATTTCATGTTTCGAGTTGCTCAGTCTATTAATAATGGAATTAGAGGAGCCATAAGATTCAGCAGCAAATTTCAGTATTCCTCCATCATAAATTCAACTTCTTGAGATTCCAGTTAAGCTCATTTTTCACTGTTTCTGACATTCATTCTCTAATGATTACAACCCTTTTTCTCATTTCTAATCTAAATATATTCATGGCTAGCTTATCATAATTAGCGTCTAGGTTGGCTTCTGCCTCCTCTAGAGTTCTTCCTCTCTAATGTCTACAGTGATGAGGCTGCTTCATTTTACTACACTGAGGAAGCCAAGTTCTTTTAGCTTCCTCTTGTAAGGCAGGCTCTCTATTCAACCTCCTAGGCCTTCTGGGTTTAAATTACATGTTGCAGAAATGGAAGACGGCAATTTCATCTGCTGCTCTGTGATATCGCAGACCTCAAATGTTGTTACAGAGCAGAGATGTATGTCAATGATGCAAGAGTTCCATTTTCAGCTCATCTCTTCTGAAAGACAAATGCCCAGAAATGTGCAGTATTCCACCTGGGCTCTCACCTAGATCTTTTATTTTCACATTCCAGGGAAATATGTTGTATGACACATCATATCATAACACATGGCTTGTTTGTTTGTTTCTGTGATTGCATCATGGTGGTGATGCCATACAGCTGATTTAGATGTCTCTGTCTCTAACTGGGTGGAGGGAAGGCACTCCAGATCCAATTAACCTTCACTCTCTGTTGAGGGCAGTCACCAAATGCTGTTGCACAGGGTCTTTGGTGCCAGTGCGCTTCCAAACTCGGATAAAGTGAAGCTTTCAAGCTAGGTAGGGATTCAACCAAGGAGGTCTGGCTAGAGGATAAACTGGAGCGATGACTAGAACTAGATGTGTTCTGAGAACCTTTGTCTCAGTTTTACCTGGGATTTAGATGAACTGGATCCATTTTTTTTTTCAGAGCACATTTATTTTCTGCAGCAGGGAGAATAAAGCAAGTGTCAAGTGTCTAGAATTTGATTAAATTCTAGCTCGCACACTCTGATGTTTTAAAGTGTCTATTTGAGATAAAAATTGTGTTTAATCATGTCCTTTAGGTAAGCCATTTATGTCCTACAGTGATTTAAAAGCGATAAATATGAAAGCACAGCCAAATTAGGATAATCCTTTACATGGCCAAAAGGTGACTAAAATTCTCAGTCCGAGAATGGTGAGGTACCTCAGCACTGCTGCAGTAGCTGTCCAAGACTGTCTGCATCAGACTGAAGCTGCTTAGCGAGGTGCCTGCAAGTTGCTTGAAAACTGGGATGTCTGGATGCCGGCTGTGATAGGCAACCAAGCACAAAACCAGCAGAGAAGCTCATTCAGAAGAAAGGATTTGAAGCTCGGTTTGTTTCAACGCCAGCATTTGCCCACAGAGCTAGAGAACACATGCACGTTTGGAATTATTTGTACACTTTCAGCCTGGGAGTGAAAATAATCAGTCTTCAAATAAAAACTCCCTTCAAAGCAGACAAAAAGTGAACTAAACAAGACAAGTTTGCAGCAAGACTTTAGGGAAAGCTAAACATCTGCATTAAGCTAACCAAAGAGGGTGAGCTGAGAACGGAGCCAGAGATAAAAAGGATAACACACAACTGAATCTGGATTTGGTTTTGGTGTCTATGCAAGCAGCTGCTAATGCACATTCAGAATTGTGCTAGTTGTTTGTTCAAGAACACAAATGGCAGAGAATGGCAAGAGAGAATTTATGAATGCAGGTTTCAAGATGAGTTATTTAGTCCCAGCTTGAGTAGCTGCTATTGATTTTCCACACACATCCCCCACTGAATATGTGCCCCTCTTCTAAATTTCTTTAAGGGGTATCAGATCAGAGGTTGGAGTGGCATCTGTGCAGGGACTGCATTAGATACAAAAGTGCTTCAAAACAGAAAGAGAAACATGTTCCCACCTGCCATACCACTTATAGAAACTGTAATGCAATTAACACATCTTAGTGAGATAGATGTCTCCATCCATTCTGCTGTAAGTTTATGAAAAAGATAAAAGTTTTGAGTCATCATATCTGACTGGAAATAGAATGGAAGTGGAGAGAAGGATGAGGGAAAACAATTTTTATATATATATACATATATATAGAAATAGATGTATATATATATAACATTTGTCAAGCCCTCAGTGATGGGCTCTAATGAAGACAGCAGCTGAACCAGTTAGCTAATGAGCAACCCAAGGGAAGAAGAGAAGATGGGGTTTTCTGTTCACAAGGGTTTCCGTTGTGTGGGTATCTGTGCTGGTCCCGCCACCCTCCCAGCGCAAGGGCCGGCGCTCAGGGCAGTCCCGTGGGAGCAGGGCTGTCCGGGTGCCTGAGGCGGCCCCATGGCCGCGGGCTCCCCGTGTTCCAGCTCTTGTGGCAGTGGAGTCTTCTCAAGTCGGGTCAGCCCGACTCTTTTTTAAAGGCGGACAAGCCTTCACGGAGCACAGCACCTCGACACTCTGCCGCTAGCAGCGCTTCCTTAGGAAGAGCAGCAGGTCAGAAATGTGGCCCTGGGAACCTCTCCCACAAAAGGATACGGGATCCACTTTCCCTGCCCTAGAAGGAAAGATGGAATTAAAAAAGTCACCCAAATTCTATCACATTGTTCATACACGAACTTCTCATCCGCATTCATAATAGTAATGGAGACTGTCGTGTGAAAGAATGAAGGGAGCAGCAATATCTGAATTCCTAATCTTTTTGCTTTTCTCCTTTGCTCACCTAATTAGAGTTTACATCAGACTAGACTGGTTTCCATCAGCTGGAAGGGCACGAAGTGTTGGTGCTGCTGCTGAGAGAAACACAAGAGCAATGTGCAGGCAGATTATATTGGAGAAAGACTTCCCTACAAAACCGATCGGAAAATATCACCAGAGTATACTTTCTCACATGGAAAAGCTATTTTTAAATACTATTACTAATTGCTAATACTGTTTAAATACTATGTTTAAATACTATTTTTTTAAAAATGACTTTGCCCAGAACAATTATTTTGCTCACAAAGTGAGACTTTTTTTTTTTTTCCCCAAAATATAGAGTATTTCCTTAAAAATAAAATATTCCCATGAAGGGGATGTTCACAGAAAGGGCTTTATTCTGGAATACTAAATGGATACCAGCTGAACTGTACCCAAGTATCTATCCTGGGTTACCTGTGCCAGTCAGTTTTGCAATCTAGATAGGCTCCAGGTATAGAAATAATGTTGCTTTTTCCCCACTCTTAAGTCTATGAGTTAATTAACACCTGAAGAGTTGACCTCATTCAAAAACCTACCGATTTATTGCTTTCTTTCTCTCAGTAAGCTTTTGTTGTTTAAACCCTCTATGTAAGTGAAACAATACTGAAAACTCCAGTGCACTTCAATGGCTGTTTTACTTAAAAAATGAAAGATGTAAAATAGAAATATTGCTGTTGTTAATTTTTATTTTATGAATACTCAGCAGAATAATATAATATTAAGAGAAAGTGATTTTTCTAGAGGACTTGCAGAGAACATATTAAAAGAACACTGTCAGCACTTTATTTATTCAAAAAGCTTTGTCTTGCTTACAATGTGGTTACTATTGCCCTGCAGGAATCCTGCAGGAATCCTGCAAGTAAAACATACTTTCCTCTTTTAAAAGGCTTTACAGAGCTGGTGGTTCCTGGAGCTTTTGAATGTGCAAAATACCTGGTTACGTAGAGCTGCAAACTCTCTCCAGGACAGAGAGACTATTCTCTTGCTGGCCAAGGACTAAGCAAGTCAAAAAGCAGTTTCTCGTCCAATTTTCTTACTTTTTTCCCCTTTCAACTTAGTTTGGTTTGCTTTATCTACCTGCAGCCAGCATCTCCAATTTCACCATTCTATGGCTTAGGCCTCTAGGTTAAGGTAATGGCTGGAGTCCAAGCCATGAGCCTGGAACCGGCCTCACTAAGTGCTGTATAGAGATTGAATAAAAAGATAGTCCTGACCCAAATCAGTTTATAGATTAACAAAGAGATAAGAGACACAATATATGTGGGAGGACCACAGTCACAGTCAGAAGGGAGGCCTCAACATCATGGCAGCTTTTTGCCAGTGTTTTGCAAATGTTTTGTTGGCCTCAAGTTAAGGGATTGGGGAAGATCATAAAGGAATGATTTTCTTTTATATAAGGGTGACTTGAGGCTGCCTTGGCTAAGTCCAAAACAGAAAGAGCAGAACTAAAAGTATTCTTTTTTTCTGAATTAAAGTTTTCAGTATCTTATGGCATAGTCTAATATTGCTGTATCCAGCATATATACTATATACACAACATGTAAGTATGTTATATATTATTTTATAATATATGGTATTCTATAGCAATATTTAAGTGGTATAGTTAATATTCTTTTAGAGTTTTTCATCCAAATGTCTCGAAGGATTCTGGGGATTTTTTTTTTAATTCTGCTTGTATACCATCTTATCAAATTCCAGTAGCTAAGACAAAGTCTGTTTTTATAAATGTGTATGTTGCTTGTAGCTGTGTTTGGGGTGTCATAGACACATCCAGTGACAAAAATCAGCCAACTGGATAAATCCTGCTAAAATAATTCAGACTTATCTTCACTTAATCATTATTATAATAAATACTATAGTATAATAATTATATTATATTATAATGATTAACTATAACATAATCATTATATCATATGTTATAATAATTATATTATAACTATAATATGTATTTTTTATGGTTTTCCTCTGAGCTCAAAGAGAAATTTTGATATGTACCAAAAAGGAAAAAAAAAAAAAGAAGAAAGACCATAAAAGTGAACCCAAGGAAATCTAGTTTTATATGAACTGCTCCTGTCTCACAGCAAGTGGCTACAGCATGGCAATGTCTCATTTCTTTTTTACCCGTACATTTTCCCCAGAGTCCAACCGAGAGGCTATTGGTGCTGCTCAAGGAGTTACGCCCCTGCTGGCTCTTGCCAATTCCTATGATCCTAGAGTTCAACAAAATGCAGTTGGTGCTATTCTCAACCTCACACAATCAGGTACTCTCTGATTAATGGTTCATCTGAAATTGCTGAAAAAGAAATTCTTGCAGATAGAAAAACATGTTTTGAAAGCACTGAGGCAAGACTAAAGGCGTATCTGAGCAGCAAGTGCTTTCCTTTGTAAATAAAGTAAAAGTAAATAAGTGCTTTCATTCATAATGATCCCATAGGTTGGTGGTTTTAGTTTTGCTTCTCTGTAGCTAGTATAGACCCATTTTATCCCTATCCCAAAATAGGAAGGCTTGATTTCCAACCTCAAGGAGCTTATGTGCAAGCAATTAAGTAATCAGTCAAAGAGAAAGAAAAAGAAAAAAAAGAAAAAAATATGGTTAAAAATAACTTGGCATAAAAAGCTAGCTATCTGGGGTACTTCTTTGGAGCAATCTCAAAATTTATCCAACAACATTCAACTCTTTGAATGTTTGTCTTGTATCTATAACTTGATGTTGCAATATGCCAATTACAGTAACTATTATTGTCTTCTGTAAAAGACTCCTGGGATTTTTGTTGTCAGCTTCAGCAAGAGCAATATTTGGTCCTCTGCAATAGTATTTCTGCACCTTGCCTCTGAAACAGAGGCCAACATAAATCCCAGCCATCTAGATGATACTGTCACCCACACACTGTGAGTGATAAAAAATGGTAAAGGGGAACAGTTGGCAGGAACTTTTATGTATTGCACTTCTGCCATTGTTCATTTTTTTAATATGGGTATTCTTTTTACACAGAGACCGTTGTGAATATTGTAAAAGTGAAGTTTTTCTGCTTTTTTCAGCAATTTAGATTCTCTGAACAATCTTTAGCAGAACACTGGCGAGGGCTAATCAGACATCTTGCTAGTCATTTTGCTAATGTGACCGCATACAAGCAGTTTGCACAGACTCTAAGTTATATACTGTGTAGTCAGACTTCTTGGAATATATTTGGATGAAGAGCATCACTCTCCAACCCAGATGGCTGTGGTGGATTTTGAGTGGTTCCTTCAGATGAGAGAAGAGGCAGGAGACGCTAACAGCGCTTTTTTTTCCAATGCAGAGAAGATCCAACAGGTCCTATGCAAGGAAGGAGCCCTCCCAATTCTCACTTTTCTGCTGGAGTCTCCTGACTCAGAAGTGCAGGTATGGTCCAAACAGGTCAGTTTTCTTAAGTCATAGCAGTGTGGCAAGAGCACACACCACGGAATTTAGAAAAGAAGAGAGAGGGAGGAGGAAAGGTTTCTCTGGAGAAGAAGGAGGGGAATTAAAGAACTTGTCTGTTTTTTTTTTTTTTTTTCCTACAGAAGCCAGTATGTGACTATGTCTTGGGCAAGCTCTGCTCGGTCAGAATCTTAGTTTCTTTAGCTATATAGATAAAGTTTGTAATAGAGAAGTGTATCTGCCTGCACACACTCATGCTTGTGCACATGCACACAGTGGTTATGCAGTTACCTCTTTATATCCTTCAGATCATCAGGCCAGTTGCAGATAAGCCTGTTCCTCTGCACCTTTGCAGCCTAAATTTCACCTTCCCCTCGGAAGTGCTTTCTGATGGCATGGTTTGCAAAGATTCTTTTTGCTTATTGGAAATGTCTAGGAAAGCTCTCTTATTTCGTCTCTACCACAGTCAGTATAAAGAACCTCTTTGTGTTTCAGCACAGGTAACAGAGAACTGGTTCTTAGTCTAAATATGAAAAATTGATGAAAAAAATATATGAATCACAGATGTAAACCTTAAAATCTACTTGTTCATTGAATCAGTCTTCTGGGTAGCACAGGATTATTTTCTCTATTTTTTAATCGTTAATTTTATTTATCTTTATTTATCAGTTCTACTTTAAATGTCTTGAAGCGATGGAGCCTCTTGAATTGCTTTCTGCAGACTGTTTCAGCATCATCAGTTTTCCTTGATATTCATCCTAAAAGGTCCTTCTTGGCAGTTTAACCTGTTTCTTCTAATTATAATCTCTCTAGTAATACATACTGTCATATATATATGGACGTCCCTGGCGTTGATATTTAAGTCCTTTGAAAATGGCCTCTTGGCATGCCAGGAGGGTGACTACACCCATCTTCAGTGGGGCAAAGTGAACAGCACATGCACACGAGCTCCTTTAGGTGCCAGCTGTAGTGAAGGGGCAGGAGCACAGCAAATTCCCACCTATGCAGGGTCCTCCTAGGCTTGTGCAAGCCGCAGTGCCACAGCACAGTTCCTGTGGTAGCACCAGGAGGTCGCTTTTCCTGCAAGAAGCCTGCTCAGGCTTTTATCACATCTAGCTAATAAACCGCCCTGCAGCTGGACAAAGCACTTATTGTTTTAATCAATTCTAAATCTGAGAGTTTCTCCAGTTTATTTTTAATCGTTCTCAGCATGTCATCAGTGCATCTCTCTCTCTGTCTCTCCCCACTTTGTTCCTGGTTTGCTCCAGTATTACAGCTGTACCGCCCTGAGCAACGTGGCCGCCCACGCGCAGCACCACGCGGCGATGCTGCGCACGGGAGACAGGTTCCTGCTGCGGGCGCTCGTCTCCCTCCTGTCTTCCTCTGTGGACAAGGTAAAGTTAGGAGAGGAGGGGAGGGAGCAGGTTTGCTGATAGCCGGACACGCACCCACGCAGGCCTTTCCGTCGGGATCAGGAGGGCCTTTGGAAGCCGCCCGTGGAGCCGTCGCTGCTCGCGGAGCTTGGCATCACGTCAGGCAGCCCCAGGGCACCCAGCCCAGCCGGCCACAGAACACCAGCGGCCTGGGCTCCAGCTCCTCACTTCCAGCAGCTCTGCGGTTCTGCAGATCTCATCCCATTATGCTGCACTGTTTTCTGACATAGGCAGAGTCAATACCCATCACTATCCTGATGTTTCTTTTTTGTGAGTGCTGATGTGCCCCAAAACCACAGTTCTGGTTGGCTCTGCTAAGGCTCCCACAGTCATTGATTCCTACTGTGTGATAGCAAGGGTCTGGAGCACCTTTTATGCTACTGTATTTTTTGTTTGTTTCTTTTGGTGTGCAAAGCATAACCATGGCTTCAAAGAATAACCCCTACAAAATATGTGGGGTTTGAGGGGGAGCCATGCATTGAAGAAACTTCAGTAAACAGTGGTTTAGGATTTAAAGGATGGAACATGCAAATTCTGTGTAGAAAGGGGAAAAAAAGTGCAAAGTAAATGAGAATTTAAATCCTTACATTTTTTTCTATAATATATTTGATATTGCTAAAATAAGCCAGCGTTTGAACCGCATTGGCTCTTCCTCATCAACAGCAGGATGATTGATACCAGAGCAGGGTATCATTAATGGGGCTAAAGAAGAGATTCACTTGACAAAAAAGAAAGTCCCCAAATTTTCATGCTCTGAAGATACTGTGATAGCTTGCTGGTGTTGTTACGTTTATTTTGAATACAGTAGCCAGGAACGCACATTACTGAATCCACCCTTTCTCTCTCTCTCTTTTTTTTTTTTTCCTCTTTGGCACACGCAGGTTTCAAGCCAGGCATGCGTCTGCTTAAGAAATTTAGCCACCAGTGGTAAGTAGTATCTTGGAGATAAACAAACTACACTGCTCTGATTCTTTTCCTTGCTCTCTGCTTCTCACAGTGAGCACATGGGGTGGGAACCTTTGGTATTAAGAATAAAAGATATATCTTCTTTTCTGCATTTTAATGAGATGTCAATAGAAGAGGGCAGGTTTAGTGCAGAGCTCCCAGGTAATGAGGGGAAGTACCTGAGCAAAGTGACTGAGACAGCGTAGGTCTTACACTCTGAGCCTTTGCAACTGTACTAAGTTTTACTTCCTCCCATTAAACCTGATTAGGACAGAATATCTCCCAAAATTGCTGTTCACGGCGGAACTTGCCTCCTTGCGAAGCATAAATCTGTCTGTCATTTTCAGAGGCATTTGTCCTGCTATTATAAAAAAAATCCTATCCTATTAAATGCCCAATTATGTTTCTACAAGGTACTCTGGAGAAGTCAGTAGAGGCAGTGCCACACTCCACGCCACAGCCGTAGGGCCCAGAAAGGACTTGTCCATCTAGAAAATGTAGCGAGGCTTCATTTTCAGAGCATCACAATTATAGTGGAGCTGGGGGACGAGGAACTGCTGCTTTGCTCTTTGAAGTGGCTGAAAAGCCCCGGGTCTTTTAGGACTGCTGCTCCATCTGCTGGCTGCTCTGGCAAGGTCCTTGTGCCGGGAAGCACTTCTGAAAATTCAGGGATACAAGAACAGGACAAACGGGTCCCTCCTTGGCTAACCTCAACCCTCTGTGAGATACCTGGTGTTTGAGGATGCCTCTCCATCCGTGCAGCAGAAACTACCACCTTCCCACCAGGCTTTAGGCCAAGGAAGTGCCCAGCAAGTTCCCTCAGTTTCTTCTCAGCAAGGTGCAGGCTTGGAGGGTCCCCAAAGCGTGTTCTGCTCTCAAGACCATGTTAATGCTTTGGCAGAAAGAGACAGAGCAAATGAGGCTTTATTTGTCCCATTCCTCAGAGCTCAGGAGGTCTCTCCTAATAACGCCATCTAACTCGGTCATTTTCCCAAACCAGCGGATACCCAGGTTGAGATCGTTGCTCACAACGTCCTGCCCAAGCTGCTTTCCCTGCTGGCGTCTGGCAGTAGGGACGTCCGCCACGCCGCCGTCGCCCTGCTCTGGATACTGTCCCAGCACCCGCGCAACCAGGTAGGGCTGGGCATTGCCTAAGACCAGAGGCAATGGGGTAGTTTTGGCCACTGCCCGGGTTAGCATTTCCTTATGGCAAAACTGCAAAGAGCAGCATCGTAAGAGAAGGAAATCACAGGGACCGCTGAGGAGGCTGTCCTCTGCTATGGGGCTTTCCTACTGAAAAGCAGAGAGAAACTGATCTACAGTGGGCAGGTAAAGTACATCACTGCAAAATTAAATGCAAAATACATTTTTTTCCATCGTGGACAATTATTTGCACATGCATTTGCATAAATTCAATATTCTTTGAACTATGATTAAGACAGCAAGAAGGGCAAATATAATGTAAGTTTATGCCTACCATTACTTACTTCATTTGAACTCTCTTGTGTGTCCTGATGCAAGACCTTAGTTACAGAATGGTTGTTCTGTCCATCTGGATTCAGGGTAAACACCACCGTTAGCAGTGTAGCTCTATAGAAATACATGAAGAAGCCTGACTAGAAATAAACAGCAGCAAATAAACAAAGCAGACCTCCCTGCTGTACTTTCATGCTTCACATAAAGGAGCAAAACCAGTAAATGCTGAGTGACAAATTAGTTGTTTCTTAAATAAGCTTTGCCATTGCAGTAATTAAAGGCATGCTTAGATACATCAGTATGAAACGGCTTTTGATGGGGGTTTTAAGCTAATACTAACCTGTTAGGAGAGCTAGCTTTTGGGCAGATAAGGCAAAAAAAAGAAAAGGAAAAAAAAAAGTGAGACCTTCACCTGTCATATTCCGTTAGGCAGTAGAGAGTCAGAGTGACCACAGCTGCTTTAGGTGCTTTTCATGCTTGAAATACATGGGCCTGGTTGGAAATTTCCTCTGGGAATTGGAGGCCCACTGCCTTATGCCTCGGGCGCACGTACGCTGCTGCACAGCACGAGGCAGGTTGTGCCTCCTGTAACTCCAGGATGTGACGGAAAAGTGGGAAAGCTCCCTGCCAAAAATGGGAAAAGCAAGTAAAGAAGTAAGAAAAATGGGAAAGCAGAAACTAGTGTCTTTCCAAAGGCGCTGGGGCTTGGTAGGCTTGTGCTGCATTAGCACCACGTGTTCCCCTCTCTCGTCCAGCTGCTCGGTGCAATGAAAACACACAGCTCCCTGCCAACGAGACTGCAGCTGAAATGCGTTAAGTTAGTGGGGACTATTTGCACAGTATGAGGCAGAGACTGCACAGTTGTCCTCACTGATACTTTATTTTCTTGCCCCAAAACACCATTTATGCTCTTTGCGCTCCCGCCAAGGAGCAGCCCGCAGCCGCTTCCCTCCTCGAGCCCAAAACGCGTCTGGGCCAGGGCTGCAGCCCCACGCGGGC